CGCTTGAAACCTTAGCCGTGGCAGGAGATGGGGGGGAAGGCCACCCCATTGGGACACCAGCCCTGCGGACACGACGGTGTTGGTATCTACTGCCCTTTCTAACCCACCATGACCAGCCCACCCTTTCCACCCAGTCCCACAGCAGCCAAGACCCTTCACCAGACCCTTCCCCATCCCCACGGGCTGGGATACGGGCTTCTCCCCGAGGAGAAGACACGCAAGGACTCACTGATATCACCCCAACCCTCCTTGCGCATAAAGGTGGTCGTCGGCGTTTTTAATTAATTGCTGGCCCAAATGAGCGGTTGATAAATAAATAAAGGCTACGAGCATGATGGCACCTGTGGGGTAATTGAAGCTCTTTCCTCTCCTGATGCTCTTTGCTTGGCTGTGCCGTGGGCCAGCAGCATCCCGTGGGCCAGCTTCAGGAGCAAGAACTGTCCTCCAGAACGGTGGCCGGGGTGGGAGGGGATGGACAACTACTCATGGGGCAGGAGGAAGCAAAACCTCACTCACGTGACCCCCTGAATGGTGCTAATTACTAAATAATCAGTACCTTTCTCCATGTAGATTAACTGGACACTCTCTTCCACCAGCTCCTCGCCCCTCTGACCTCTCTCCAGCCCCAGCGGCAGGTCCCCATGGGACAAGGGCAGCTCTTCGGTGGGAGGAGATTGTCTGCAGACCCCATGGGGAGAGAAAGAGCATGGGTCACAGTGATGCAGGCCTTGGCAAGGGTCATCATGGTGATGAAGGCCATGGCAAGTAGGACTAGGGTGAGGATGGCCATGGTGAGGAAGGACCAATGGTGAGAAAGGTCAAGGTGAAGATGGCTGTGCAAGGATGGCCGTGGCAAGGCTGGCCATGGTGAGGGGGAGGAAGGCCATGGTGAGGCAGACCATGGGGAGGAAGGCCATGTTGAGGGGGAGGAAGGCCATGGCAAGGAAGGCTTTGGAGAGGAAGGCTATGGTGAGGCAGACTGTGTGGAGGAGGCCCATGTTGAGGATGAGAATAGCTGTGGTGAGGAAGGCCATGGAGAGGGTGAAGATGGCCACAGTGAGGTAGGAGAAGGTGAGGGAAGCCATGGTAAGGCCAGATAACAGGGAAAAAGGCCATGTTGAGGGTGAGGAAGGCCATAGGGGGGGGCAACGGGCCGGGCCTAGGCCTAGATTTAGGCCTAGATCTAGGCCTAGGCCTAGGCCTGGCCGAAGAACCCCCTTCCCCACCCCGCTGTGGTAGCCCCGGAGGGGATGGCGTCCAGCTGAGGCGCTGCTTTGGCTTCTTAATTCTCCGTTTCGGGTGGTTGGGGAGGGGGGAGGCGGGGAAATAAGCGGTAACGTTGTTTTGGAGGTGAGGGGTGGCCTCCATTTTAATGGCGGGGGGTGGTAGAGGTCTCCTGAGGGGGTGAGCACCGTGGCCATTGCCACCGGGCTCCCTAACCCGAAGGGTGGTGGCAGAGACCCCCCCAAAGGGCGCTTTTGCGCCCTTTGGGGGGGTCTCTGCCATCACCCTTCGGGTTAGGGAGCCAGTTACGTCCCAAAAAGTGAGGATTTTTAAGAACTGACCACCTCTCGTCCCCTTCAGATGCATCACTGTAAGAGATACCGGTCCCCGGAGCAGGAGAACTACCTGGGTCACAGGTGGAAAAGGAAAAGATCTCGGAGCAGAGACTACGAGGGGAGATTACGATACCCACCCCGCAGGGATCTGGCCAGGAGATCACGATCGAGAAGGTAAAAAAACAGGGTTTGTTTAGGGTTTTTTTTTTTTTTGAGGGGGGAGAGAGGGAGAGGTTTTGTCTCGGAGCGGCGGCAGCTTTTATTTCCTGGCTGTGGATCAGCTTTAAAGCCATAAATCCCCGAGATGGAAGGCTTAATGGTGTGGGCCTTCCCTTCTATCTCTCTGTTATCTCACCGGAAAAGTTCTTCCCAAAGCTTTAATATTAAGGAGGGAGAAGAGCCTCATCTGGAATCACATTTCCCAGTTTTCATGCCGTGAAGGCATTAAAGTCTTTCCCGACAACCCGCTTCCTTCTGAAATGATTACAAATCAGATTTTAAACTAACAGTATTGGTTGTTTTTTTCCCCCTTATGAGGAGAGACTGAGAGAGCTGGGACTCTTTAGTCTGGAGAAGAGAAGGCTGAGGGGAGACCTTATTAATGCTGACAAGTATCTCAAGGGTGGGTTGAAGGAGGAGGGAGCCAGACTCTTTTCAGTGGTTCCCAGTGAGAGGACGAGGGGCAACGGGCACAAGTTGGAACAGAAGAGGTTCCACTCAAATATGAGGAGAAACTTCTTCACGGTGAGGGTGGCAGAGCCCTGGCAGAGGCTGCCCAGGGAGGGGGTGGAGTCCCCTTCCTTGGAGATTTTCAAGCCCCACCTGGATGCTCCTGAGTAACATGCTCTGACAAGCTCTGGGTGGTCCTGCTTCAGCAGGGGAGTTGGACTAGATGATCTCTATGGTCCCTTCCAACTCTAAAATTCAGTGAAATTCAGTGAAAAGGATCCGAGAGCGTCACTAACTCATCTTTTCTGCTTCGGCTCCGGGTTTTTACCTTTGATCCTCTCTTTGTTTGGCGTTTCTGCAGGGACAATTAGGTGCTGGAAGCGGGGTTGATAAAGCCTCTGATAACAGTGAGGCTTCTGGAACAGAGGAGAGTCGTGGTGACACCCAACTAGGCTGGCCATCCTCAGTGGTACCAGAGCTTGGTGTGGTTCCACTGGTTGAACTGGGGGGCAGGTTGCAGCCAGAAGGGGAGCTGAGTTCATCTTTAAAATTCCTGAGATGTTCTACAAATGAATTTCCCTTCCCCAGCCTGGCTTTTACTTACTTGGAGGAAGGGGATTGTGAAATAGAGCTGAGACACACAGTGGGCTTTCCCATTTTTTTATTATTTTTTTTTTTTCCTCTCATGGATTCTGTAGGAGAGATTTGTATGAAAACAGCCTTTTACTAGATTAAAACCTTCTTGCCTCGTCAGTCTGGGAGCGCGAGCCTCTCGCGGGTTGGCTGGTCTCCTTTGTGGTTTAGATTGTCATTTCTGACTCCTCTTGTAACTTCAAAGCACGTGCTGAAGTTTCATAAAGGTGTGTTTGGAGTTGGGTGTTGGTGTCGGAACAGGTTGGAGGGGTTTTTTGGGTTGTTTTTTTTGGCTTTTGGGTAGTTCAGCGGTGACCTAGAGCCGCCGCCGTCTTGGCAGGCAGGTTGAAATTTTAGTCTTGATCCTAGAGGAGATGAAACCCTACAGACGTACCCGTGGCCCGTTAAGCTGTCAGCGAGGGAGCTAATTGAGGTGCAAATGAGAAAATTTCCTATTTCCAGGCTGAAGCTGCTGCAGTGAGGGCTCTGGTGGGTTGGAGAAGCCGTTGCTTTTGCTGTGGGCTGGGGATATCACACCGCAGCGTCCGCTGGGCGCTGCTGGAAAACCAACGTGCTCTTATTTCTGAGCTGCAACGCCAAAAACATGGCTTTTCCCTCAATGATGGTGTGAAATGAGGCTTGTGGAGGAAGCTGTGTCATTAGCCCGGCCACGGGGGGAGAAGACAGTCGTGCTTTTTGGGGGGCTAATCGAGGACGGGGCGGGGAGAGCCACTCTTCATGGTTTAACGTGCACTTGGGGTTCCTCACACCATGTGTGCACCTCCAGCTGATAAATACTGACCCAGGGGAGCTTTAGCTCCTGTCTTCTGGCCCTTCCCAACACAGAGATGAGCTTGGCTGAAGGTCTCCCTCACGTATGTGCAGCCCTTGAGTGTTGTAAGAGAAACAGGAGCTTAACTCTATTGTGGAGACCAATTTTTTTTCCTCTTGGCCTCTTGCTAATGATGTGTTGTGTGTGTGTACACCAAAGGCTGGGTCTTCAGGGGACTCCAGGGGACTCCAGTCCCCTCCTTGGGGACCCACTGCTGTCTTCAGATCTCATTTGTTGGACGACTCCTCTTGCTAATGATGTGTTGTGTGTGCGTACACCGAAGGCTGGGTCTTCAGGGGACTCCAGGGGACTCCAGTCCCCTCCTTGGGGACTCACTGCTGTCTTCAGATCTCATTTGTTGAACGACTAATGAGAGACCTTCCTTAGGGAGGAGAAATGGTGGCGTGTGGTGGCGGAGGTGGCTCGGATGAGGTTGGCAGCTCAGATCGAGCTCTGAGTGGGTGATTCCAGCCCCACAGCCCCTTGAAACATGGGAGCATCACACAATTTTCTCTTGCAAACTCTCTCCTTTTTTTCTTCCCTGAGAAACGGGGCCGAGGAGCGCTCACCCTTTGAGGGTGGTACTCAATGGCTCAAAGTCCAGATGGAAACCAGTCACAAGTGGTGTTCCTCAAGGGTCCGTGCTGGGGCTGGTGCTGTTTAACATTTTTATCAATGATATAGACAGGGAGATTAAAGGCACCATCAGCAAGTTTGCGGATGACACCAAGCTGTGTGGTGTTGTCGATACACCAGAGGGACGGGATGTCATCCAGAAGGACCTGGACAGGCTGGAGAGGTGGGCCCAGGTGAACCTCATGAGGTTCAACAAGAGCAAATGCAAGGTTCTGCACCTGGGCCGGAACAATCCTCGCCACCAATACAAACTGGGGGGTGAGGTATTGGAAAGCAGCCCTGAGGAAAGGGACTTGGGGGTGCTGGTGGAGGAGAAGCTGGACATGAGCAGGCAGTGGGCAGCTGCAGCCCAGAAGGCCAATCCCATCCTGGGCTGCATCAAAAGATGCGTTGCCAGCAGGTCCAGAGAGGGGATTCTGCCACTTTACTCTGCTCTGGTGAGACCTCACCTGGAGTATTGTGTGCAGGTCTGGAGCCCTCAATATAAGAAGGACATGGACCTGATGGAGAGGGTCCAGAGGAGGGCCACAAGGATGATCAGGGGGATGGAGCCCCTCTGCTCCGAGGACAGGCTGAGGGAGCTGGGGTTGTTCAGCCTGGAGAAGAGGAGGCTCTGGGGAGACCTAATAGCAGCCTTCCAGTACCTGAAGGGAGCCTACAGGAAGGCTGGGGAGAGCCTGTTTAGAAAGGCCTGCAGTGACAGGACGAGGGGCAATGGCTTCAAGCTGGAGGGGAACAGATTTAGACTGGAGATGAGGAGAGGGTTCTTCACTGTGAGGGTGGTGGAGCACTGGAACAGGTTGCCCAGGGAGGTGGTTGAGGCCCCTTCCCTGGAGATATTCAAGGAGAGGCTCGACGAGGCCCTGGGCAACCTGGTCTAGTTGGGGGTGTCCCTGCTGACTGCGGGGGGGTTGGACTAGATGGCCTTTGGAGGTCCCTTCTGGCCTGGACAATTCTATGATTCTATGATTTGAGCCGCCGCGGTTTCAAGCTTGCTGTGGTTTCCCCACCACCAGGGAAGCGAGAGCGCTTAAATTCGGCAGGACTGGGCAATTTTTGCTTTTCCAGACTTATAAAACACCTCCTCCTTTGCCCTCCAGCCATGACAGGATGCCTTATCACAGGAGATACAGACGGGACAGCGATGCCTACAGACTGGAAGAGCGAAGCCCCTCTTTCGGAGAGGATTATTACTCCACCCGCTCGCGAAACTGGCGCCGATCCCGAGGCCGAGAGCAGCAGCACCGTCCAAAGAAGCACCAGCACCACTGCAGGAAACGCAGGACCAGGTCTTGTAGCAGTGCCTCCTCGGTGAGTAACATCCAGAACGAGTTGAGGATTGGTCAGGGTTTTTGTTTCTTTTTTTTTTTTTAACCGTTCTTACCTCCTTTTTAGCTGGGAACACTCTGGGTGAGTACCTCTAATCCCATATTATTTTTTTTTTTTGTGTGTGTGTGTTCGTTTTCATATAGTCCAAAAAAAAAAATACGATAATCTGTGTCTTGTTAAGCAGGAAATGTTTGTAGCTATTGGTTTGTGGTTTTTTTTTTACACACTAGTCCAGCTCTTAATGTAGCTTTAATACCTGAGGAAATTAAGTTGTGCTCTTTAACATCTCGAGGGAGGGGATCAGGCAAAGCTTCAAATGATAGGCTAATGAGGGAGACCCTTGGCTACTGGCCAGCCTGGCTGCTGGGGATCAGGCACGTGTGTGTTCGTTTTCATATAGTCCAAAAAAAAAAATACGATAATCTGTGTCTTGTTAAGCAGGAAATGTTTGTAGCTATTGGTTTGTGGTTTTTTTTTTACACACTAGTCCAGCTCTTAATGTAGCTTTAATACCTGAGGAAATTAAGTTGTGCTCTTTAACATCTCGAGGGAGGGGATCAGGCAAAGCTTCAAATGATAGGCTAATGAGGGAGACCCTTGGCTACTGGCCAGCCTGGCTGCTGGGGATCAGGCACTCTGTGGGTTTTATACCCAGCCAGGGCCTTGTTTCTGCGTCCTCCTGCTGCTTCTTGGGGTGTGTTTGGGGGGAGTGATTTGGAATGCAGTTTTTGGGGAGTGATTTGGAATGGAGCCCTCCCAGGAAGACCTGGATGGGATCAATCAGCCTGGTCGTTAGCCTGGGGGTTATTAACCCCCATCCCCACTGTGCTTAGAAAAAGGCTTCCACCTTCTGAGGTGTCCTCTTTTCCACACGCCAGTGTCCTTGGGCTTCAGCTTCTTGAAAACTCGCCCATTTTCCACCCCAAAATGTAGTATTCCTTGCCCGAGGTGTTTCAAGGATGACCAGTGAATACTGGGAAGTGGGTGGGGAGGCTGATCCCGGGACTGGGAATGCCCTGGCAGTGTTGTGAGGTGTCAGACCAAACCTCCCCCCCTTCCCTGCTGCTCTCCTGCAAGGAACACTTCCACCTCTCACACGTTTGTTGCTTTTAAATGTTATAAAAACTAAAAGACCGAGCCCCGATCCCTGCAGTTTTAGGGGATAGGTCTGCATGGCTGGGAACTTCTGACGGTCTGTTGCTTTCCTCCTTTTATTTTCTTGCCAGTTGACTTTTTTTTTGTTTATTTTTATTCTTAATTTTAGTTTTAGAAAGAGCCTGGGTCAGGATGCAAACGCCCCAGTGGGGTTTGCGCGCGTGCGCGGCGATAACGGCGTGTGGGTTTTGGGCTGGTGTGATCTGAAACCCCTTTGAAGTCTCACACTGAAGCTCTCTCTGCTGTCCTCTCTACCTTCTCCTCCTTCCTCCACCTTCTGGGGTTTGATCACAGCTCAGTATTTTGGATTAGCTGGGGGGCAAAGGGCACAGAAGAGAAGCCTCGATAGAAGCCCGGGCGTGGAAACGTAGAGCTTTGTATTAATTTCTTTGGCTGTAGAGCTTGTAACTATTTTTAAGGCCGAGTAGAAAAAGATTGGGAATTAGGGCAGCTTGTTTTGTGGACCCCGGGGTCCTTTCGGGAAGGTTGGGCTGGTTTTCCAGTAGAAGCCAGCAGGGGTGAAGGTGACCTCAGACCTTCAGCGGACGCCTGGAGTGAAAGGGTCCCTGGGGGATTAATTTAACTGTCCTGTTTCTAAAGTTCCTAAAGTTCTCCCGGGTTTAAAATTCCATCTGATGGGCAACACCGGGTCTGTTTTGTCAGCCAGTCTGGGAGGATGGATTTTTGGGTCAGTGGCAGTGGTCGGTTTGGTCAAGAAGGGGATGGTTGGTAGCTGGGGGCAGGAGAGGGCTGTGGGGCAGGAGAGGGCTGTGGGGCAGCCGGGGGTTTAATTAACCCTTGGGGCTGCAGAGAGGGAGAACTTGCTCCTCTGGCTTCTGCTGGGCACCTGGGCCAAACCGACAGCTTTTTCTACCCTTCCTCACCTTTGCCAGCGCAGAAAACACAACGGCCCCTTCTGGCAAAGCCAGGCTTCTCCCTCCCACCTCTGGCAGCATCTCCTCCTGGGAGGATGCTGCTCCTCTTCCTCCTCCTCCTCCTCCTCCTCCTCTGTGGGGCACGGTGGCCCCTGAGCCACCTTAACACCGGAGCTTCCCGGCTGCTGCTGCTCCGTAGCTAAATGCGAAGAGTTTTTCTTTACATACCTGTAGCTGTTGATGACTTTTCTGTTTTGAAGTTAGTTTTGTTGTCTTGACGTGTCCCTTGCAATATCCCTATCGTTATATATGCTGTGTGCCTTATGAAATGCTGGGATCTGGAAAATCCAACCAACCAACCATCCAACCAACCAACCAACCAACCATCCATCCAACCGGCGCCCCCGTCGTCTCTCCAACCTCTTGAATGACAACACAATCCTGCCTGCCTGCCCCGGGACCTGCCTGCCCCTCTGCCCTGCGCGCTCGTGTCGGGGGGCGGTGCGGACAGAGAAGCCAACAGAGCAGTAAGCGCAGCAGGAGCGTGGAAGATGACAAGGAAGGCCACCTGGTGTGCAGGATCGGCGATTGGCTCCAAGAGCGATGTACAGCCACCTTTCGTAACGCTTTACCTCTCTCTCTCTCTCTCTCTCTCTCTCTCTACTTTCTATCCCCCCTGTGTTAGAACAAGATCTCTCCTCTCCGTACTGGAGGGGGTCTCTAGTGTTTTATTGCCTATAAATGGGACTGACCAGTAAATTGCCTCAGGCAGACAATAGACACTTGAGTCTTAAAAAAGAGCGTAGCAGCGAGAGACATCTTTATTATTATTTTTTATTATTATTATTATTATTTGCTTTGACGTTTTATTGCTGTGAAAATTGCAGGATCTCAGCTCTCCCCAGGTCCCTCTGAAGGTCATGTCCCCCTCCTGTTTTCTCTCCTAGATGAAATCGTTGGCAGCCTGGGCGAAGGCACTTTTGGCAAAGTGGTGGAGTGCGTCGACCACGCCAGGTGGGCACCTTTCCCTGCTGGGTAACTCCTCTGGTCCAGCCTGGATGCTGATGACCGTGGTGGGATCACAGAATCACAGAATCTTAGTGGTTGGAAGGGACCTCTGAGATCGAGTCCAACCACAAAAAAAAAAAAAAAAAAAACCAAAACAAAAAACAAAACCCCAAAAAACACCCCACACCAAACGCCCACCAAAAACACCGCACCCACCAACTAAACCCCACACTCAACACCTCACCATAAACCAATAACCTTGGGCACTAGAGCATGCCCTGAAGAGCCATGTCTATACGTTTCTTAAATCCCTCCAGGGATGGTGACTCCACCACCTCCCTGGGCAGGCTGTTCCAGGGCCTGACCACCCTCTCAGTAAAGTAATTCTTTCTAATATCTAATCTAAATGCTGGACCAAACTGGTGTCACTTTCCACTTGTCACTACAGCAAGGTCTGCTTCACACCTCAGTCCCTCCCCCAAATTTGCAGGCTGATGTGTTAAGGGGGGGGGGTTGTTCAGGCTCCAGCACAGACTCTTCCACTGCAGGGAACTCCAGTTTTCTGTCTGGCCTGTATCATTCTGTCTGGCCTGTGTCAGGAACAGCGTGGGGAGTAGGGCCCGAGAGGTGATTGTCCCCCTGTACTGGGCACTGGTGAGGCCTCACCTTGAGTACTGTGTCCAGTTTTGGGCCCCCTACCATAAAAAAGACATCGAGGTGCTGGAGCGGGTCCAGAGAAGGGCGACAAAGATGGTGAGGGGTCTGGAGCACAAGTCTTATGAGGAGAGGCTGAGGGAGCTGGGGGTGTTCAGCCTGGAGAAGAGGAGGCTGAGGGGAGACCTTCTTGCTCTCTGCAACTCCCTGAAAGGAGGGTGTAGAGAGGTGGGGGGCGGTCTCTTTTCTCAAGTCACAGGTGACAGGACAAGAGGAAATGGCCTCAAGTTACACCAGGGGAGGTTCAGGCTGGATATTAGGAACAATTTTTTCCCTGAAAGGGTTCTCGGGCATTGGAATGGGCTGCCCAGGGAGGGGGGTGAGGCCCCATCCCTGGAGGTGTTCAAAAGCCGGGTTGATGTAGTGCTGGGAGGTCTGGTTTAGTGATGATGCTCCTTGTTTGTTGTGCGGGTGTCTATTTTTGTCAGTCAGGTTGACGGTTGGACAAGATGATCTTTGGGGGCCCTTCCAACCTAGAAGATTCTGTGATTCTGTTGGGCCAGTCCCTGGGATGTGTCCTCTTCTCTGCGGACCGAGGACCTGCCTACGTAGGCTTTTTGTCTGACTCCATCCTTTTTTTTCTCTTCCCCCTTACAGAGGCAAATCTCAGGTGGCACTGAAAATCATCAAAAACGTTGGGAAATACCGGGAAGCAGCCAGGCTGGAGATCAACGTCCTGAAAAAAATCAAAGAGAAGGACAAGGAGAACAAATTGTAAGTTCTTAGGAGACTCCTGGGGGGTCGGTAACCGCGTCCTTCCAGGCAGGGAAAGGTGGGGCTGAGGACTGGGATACCTGCTGCTCAGCTCTTAGGTGGAGGGGAAAACCTGTCTCATTCCTCCATATTTTGGAAGGGCATCTGTCTCTAGTTCTACTGAACCTTTACTTACTTAAGACTCGACACAATTAAGAGTTTTAGCGAGGAAAAATGAACTGAAACTTCTCTGACGACCACCTGCTGCCTCCTCCCGCTCGAATGGGAGACCTGGAGCTAAAGGTGGTTGAGCAAAAGTGAGGAAAGGGTATCTCTGTGGTGCCCCACGGAGGGATGACGCTGCTGCTGAGTCAGCTGCCTCGGAGCTGCTGCTCACCAACCACTTCTGGAGCAGCCAGGAATGGGGAGAATGACTCTTCTGTCCCCTTGTTCCTCAAGGGTCCATGCTGGGGCCGGTGCTGTTTAACATTTTTATCAATGACATAGACAGGGAGATTAAAGGCACCATCAGCAAGTTTGCGGACGACACCAAGCTGTGTGGTGTTGTCGATACACCAGAGGGATGGGATGTTATCCAAAAGGACCTGGACAGGCTGGAGAGGTGGGCCCAGGTGAACCTCATGAGGTTCAACAAGAGCAAATGCAAGGTTCTGCACCTGGGCCGGAACAATCCTCGCCACCAATACAAACTGGGGGGTGAGGGATTGTTCTATGACTCTATGATTCAAACGACCCTTAATCCTCCTGTCTCTTCTCTCCCCCCAGCTTGTGTGTCCTGATGTCGGACTGGTTCAACTTCCACGGCCACATGTGCATCGCCTTCGAGCTGCTGGGCAAGAACACTTTCGAGTTCCTGAAGGAGAATAACTTCCAGCCCTACCCTCTCCCTCAGATCCGACACATGGCCTACCAGCTCTGCCATGCCTTGAGATGTAAGTCATCCAGGGTGACTTACACCAGGCCCCGCCGGGTGACCATGGCTCACCGGAAGGGAGCAGGTCTTTGATGGTACCCCTGCTTTGCTCTGTGGTTTTTTTAGACCTATTTTTTTTTCTTTTCTCCTCTCTGCCACCGCTGCAGTTTTACACGACAACCAGCTGACTCACACCGACCTCAAGCCAGAAAACATCTTGTTTGTCAACTCGGATTTTGACACACTCTACAACGAGAAAAAGGTGGGTTTGTGGCCAAAAGAAGAAATTCTTTACAGTGAGGGTGGTGAGACACTGGAACAGGTTGCCCAGGGAAGTTGTGGCTGCCCCATCCCTGGAGGGGTTCAAGGCCAGGCTGGATGGGGCCTTGAGCAACCTGGTCTGGTGGGAGGTGTCCCTGCCCAGGGCAGGGGGGTTGGAACTAGATGATCCTTGAGGTCCCTTCCAACCCAAACCACTCTATGATTCTATGAAAAGAGAAGGGGGTGGATCAGGAACAACCTGCCTTTTCCTCCCCTGCAGAAATCGGATCTTCCCTGTCCCTCCACACCCCACAGGGCCTTGAAAAGTCTATTTAGTAGGAACGAAGTAGGATTCACACCTCTTGTTTTCCCTTCCAACCCAAACCATTCTATGAAAAGAGCAGGGGGTTGATCAGGAACAACCTGCCTTTTCCTCCCCTGCAGAAATCGGATCTTCCCTGTCCCTCCACACCCCACAGGGCCTTGAAAAGTCTATTTAGTAGGAACGAAGTAGGATTCACACCTCTTGTTCCTCTTGTGTTTCCTAAAAGCCTTGAGGCTGCTTCACTCCATGGAGTGGAGCGTTTGGTGGCTTTCTGAGCCGTTCAGGGCTCGGGGCTTCACAGTCATAATCCTTCTGATTCTATGAAAAGAGCAGGGGGTTGATCAGGAACAACCTGCCTTTTCCTCCCCTGCAGAAATCGGATCTTCCCTGTCCCTCCACACCCCACAGGGCCTTGAAAAGTCTATTTAGTAGGAACGAAGTAGGATTCACACCTCTTGTTTCTCTTGTGTTTCCTAAAAGCCTTGAGGCTGCTTCACTCCATGGAGTGGAGCGTTTGGTGGCTTTCAGAGCTGTTCAGGGCTCGGAGCTTCACAGTCATAATCCTTCCAAGGTGGCAGTTGTGGGGTGAGAGGGCTCCTCTCCAAGCCTGAGTTAATCCTGAGCTGTCAGAAGCACTGAGGGCTTCTCTTTTCGCTTGCAGAGCTGTGAGGAGAAGTCCATCCGGAACACCAGCATCCGGGTGGCAGACTTCGGAAGCGCCACCTTCGACCACGAGCACCACACCACCATCGTGGCCACCCGGCACTACCGTCCCCCAGAAGTGATTCTGGGTGAGCTCTGCTGGGATTTTGGGAGCACGGGATGTGGGGGAGGAGGAGAACGGTGGTCCCACGGATGGCTGTAGGATGGAGGAGGACAACCTCTTTGGATGCAGCCCAGGATGGGATTGGCCTTCTGGGCTGCAAGTGCCCACTGCCTGCTCATGTCCAGCTTTTCCTCCATCAGCCCCCCAAGTCCCTTTCCTCAGGGCTGCTTTCCAGTCCCTCACCCCCCAGTCTGTATTGGTGGCGAGGATTGTTCCGGCCACCACCATTCCAACCTGAATGATTCTATGATTCTATGAACCAGGTTGAGGGCACAGCAGTTGTTGGGGACGAGCTGGTCCATGCTGCACCACCACCCCCAGTGGTCCCACAACGTCCTTGATGGTCTGGAAGGTGTTGATGGATAAAGGCAGGGCCTCGGTGTGGAGTGTGGAGAGAAACCTGAGGTTCAGGAAGGGTTCAGATTGATTCTGGGGGAAGGTGGAGTCATAAATGGAAGGGGGGAAGACTTGATGATCTTGATGGAGATACCTCTGGGCTCCTGGCAATCCCCACCAGATTGTTGCTGCAGGGATTACACCAATCCAGACTCAGAAGGTAACAGGACTCTCTTTGCAGAGCTGGGCTGGGCGCAGCCGTGCGACGTCTGGAGCACGGGGTGCATTCTGTTCGAGTACTACCGCGGCTTCACGCTCTTCCAGGTACAGATCTTGCAAAAATTTCCAAACCCTCCAAACCCTCCACCTCTAAAAGGGCTCAAATTTAGGTGAGGGGAACGGAAGCGCAGCCCCAGGTGCTAAAAAGGGGAAGCTGAGTTCCAAAGTTGTCTCTCCTTCCCTCGTACAGGGGACAGAACTCTTTTTCATCGCCGTTAACGCGCCGTTTCTCTTTGCCTCCTCAGACCCACGAAAACCGCGAGCATCTCGTCATGATGGAAAAAATCCTCGGCCCGATTCCATCTCACATGGTCCACAAAACTCGGTGAGGACCTCTTCTGGCTCTCACCTCCGTGGATAGAACCCAGGGAGACGCGCTGAAGGGTATTTATTTCCCCATCAACGACCTCTTTTCTCTCCAGGAAGCAAAAATATTTCCACAACGGGAACCTGGTGTGGGATGAGAACACGTCCGACGGGCGCTACGTCCAAGAGAACTGCAAGCCCCTGAGGGTAGGTGCTGGGTTGTGGGGTGGGACCTGTTGCCTTCTCCAGATGAACACCATGAGGCTTAGGGAGGGGAATTTTCCCTCAATAATCAGCTTTTACAGAGCCCCAAACTCGAGATCTGCAGTAAGAGGAGGTTATTGGTGCTGGGAAGGGGAGGGAGGGTGGGACACAGCCACTGCCTCGCTGTGTTATCACACAGCTCCCTGATGAGGAGAGACTGAGAGAGCTGGGACTCTTTAGTCTGGAGAAGAGAAGGCTGAGGGGAGACCTTATTAATGCTGACAAGTATCTCAAGGGAGGGTTGAAGGAGGAGGGAGCCAGACTCTTTTCAGTGGTTCCCAGTGAGAGGATGAGGGGCAACGGGCACAAGTTGGAACATAGAATCATAGAATGGCCCAGGCCAGAAGGGACCTCCAAAGGCCATCTAGTCCAACCCCCCCGCAGGCAGCAGGGATACCCCCAAATAGAACAGGGTGCCC